AGTCATTTTTGTGGATTCGTGGCTCGCATTCATTACAAGAGAATGAAGAAAGCAGCGGTTACCACCCAGTGTGCATGGAGGGTAAGAGTTGCTCGCAGAGAACTGCGCAAACTTAAAATGGTGAGATCTTGTATTCTCGTTTTCTTTAAAGAAGAAACCCAACGTATGTTTGCTTGAGCATTGCATTGATAGTTAGATCAGACTAAAGCGGTTCCTACATGTCTTTTGCATCGTTGACTTGTGGATGCAATGCTTTAAAAATATGTTGTGAATTATATTTGGGAGGATCAGTTAACGTGACTAATTATCCAAGATGCCAGTGATTCTGTCAAGATAGAGAACTTAGATGATCATTTTTCCTTTCTCAAATACTAAAATGAACTTTATTAATCTTTGTTTTTTAAAAAAATGTTACTTTCTTAAGTAATTGAATCTATCCTGCATCATGAGTTTCCAAGCTAGGGAATATAAGCTGCATATACCAATGATTGGGGTGAAATTTCCACACTATCTTTGGAGTTTGGCCATATAGTGATGAATCTGTAAGTTGATAGGGGATAATATCCTCAAGTTTTAGGCAAGATTATAACTAATATTTAAGGAAATCCATACTTTAATGCATATTCTGGATTTCTGGTTCAAGTGTTTGAACTAACACGAACAATTGAGGCAATAAAGCTTTTCCCACTAAAAGTAGAAATCCTTATAAATCTTTTCCTTCTTGATTTGAACTTGTGTATGATTGGTGCAAGCCTGAATTTCATCGTGTGTTGAATGCTATGTTTTTGCCTCAGGCTGCAAAAAAAGCAGCTGCTTTGCAAGCCACCAATAGTATTCTGGAAAAGCAAGTTGAAGAACTCTCTTCACAATTGGAGCTAGAAAAGCGCATAAGGGTAAATATGTGTATTTGAAATTTATTTTATTTTATATTTATTTATTTATTTAATTCTCTCGGGGTGCTTATCTGGCCACATAAAGTGTGGATAGGGCATGATGCTATCAAATATTCAACTCGTCGCTGTGTCATGATATTTTCCATGCATGCACACACCCTCAGACCCTTTTTGTGGGATTTTTCTGGGTTTGTTGTTGATGACTGATTAAAAAATTTCATCTCATTCTTTCTTCCTTGGAAGTTCTTGAGAAAAAAGGGTATTCGACATGAAACAATGGCATTGTATTTTGCATTAAATAATAGTGTTAATTAATTTTATACAATTGGTTGTTGTTGTTAGTTGGCACTATATATTTAACGCCACCAAGCACAAGAAATTGGGAGTAAGGTGATAAGGACGATGCTGAGCTACGATTTCATGCTACTTTTGGTCCTGGGCTATGAATTGGATAAATTTTAGTCCCTTGATTTTTTAAAATGCGCCAAATTTGGTCCAAGATATGCAAAACACTGACACAGAAAATATTTAATTTTGTGAGGTGAGGGCATTTCATACTTTCGGACTATTAAAAGAAGCTTCTTGGAGAGGAACAGTAGTTCACCTCCGTGTGAGGGTGTATAGACTTGGCAAAACAGACTCGGACCCGATAACCCGAACTGAACAGAACCGAATTCGGAATGAC